CGGTCCCCGGTCGGGCCGGTGGTGGGCTGGCCTCTGGTGGCTCCTGTTGCGCAGCGGTGGTGGGATGCCAGATCGGCCGGATCTGGCCTGTCGGCGTCTTCTCGTCCGGCGGGGAGGTGAGGTGTGGTGGCTCTCCGATGCTGCTGGCGCGGTGGCTTCGCGAGAGGTGGGCGGGTCAGCGAAGGTGCAGTGCGTGAGGGTGCTGGTGGTGTTGGGGATACTCCGGGCGAAAGCTTGGCTGGTCTTGCCGACCGGCGGCGTCGGCGTCTGTGGACGTCGTTTAACCTCCTTGGAGGCGTCGTTGTGGAGTCCGGCATCCCCTTACGCCCTCGGATCTTGCTCTTCGGGTGAAAGCCTAAGGCCCGGCTGGGTCGGGCGACGGCGTCGACATCGCCGCTTCCCTCTTTGGGGCGTCGCCTTGAAGAGCTTCAGATCCCGGTTGCATGCTTCATGGGATGGATGCTCGCGGCATTGTGGTCGGTAGGTGCCCGTCTGGCAATGCGGATGTTGCGCGGCTTCTTGTTTGTGGCAACGATGGCGGCTTCGGGCGGAGTCAGGTTTGCTGATGGTTCTTGGTAGTCGGTCTTTTCCGGCGTGTTCGAGGAGTCGCGCTCTGGCGCTGGCTCGGCGCAAGCCCAACGCTCTTCTCCTGCAATGCTCGTCGACAGAGTCGGAGCTGCCTGGTCGCCGGCGCGTGTGGTTGACTGTTTGGCATCGGCCGGCGCAAGCCTCGACGCTTCCCCTCGGTGGCGTGTGTGCGTTCTTGTGTGGGTTGTCAGGTCGCCCTGTGTGCCTTGTTTCTGCGGGCCAGTTGTGATGGTTTTCGCCCGGTTTTCCGTTTATTAACCGGGCAATTCTCTTCGAGCTTATTTAATGAATCGGGCCCTAAGGGACCGCGTTTCAAAAAAAAGATTTGCCTGCTCTGGAAAGTTACTGCAGCCTATTTAGTCTTTTTGCACTGTATTTCTACAATTGTATATTCTTGCCACTGACTAGGTGATTCCTTGAATTATTCAGGTCGTTGTAGCATACCAGTTTGATGGCCTAAATTCTATGGAGAGAAAATTTGGTTTCCGGAATCGATCTACTCAAATCAACAGGTTTTTCATATCACAAACACATGCATATTGTAAGTTCCATCCATGAAGCAATGAAATAAGCCGACACATGCAGCTAGTTTGCTGTTCTGACATTTTCCCTTTTTAAGTATATTACTTTTCTCTCTATCTGCATATTGGGTTGTCAATCTTTCCTGGAGTGGATTTTCTGCTACAGCTTCTAACAGTAACTAATCCAGGAAAGAACTTCTGATCTTTTATCTAAATGTTTTGTAGAACCCCCCAGATTGAACATATATATTGCATGCTGTCCATCCACAATAGATTTTTTGTCCATTGTTTTCAATAATCAAGATGCAACAACTGGATCAAAAAACTATGGTTATCCTACCTAACATGTGTCTGAGGGTTCAAGCTACAAGAAAACCTATTACTACCATAATGCCTATATATGTCCATTCAGTTGTTTGGATGCATATTATGATGTGTAAAATACATACATATACCGTTACAATATGTCTCAAAGAAGTCGACAAAAATTTCCACTGCAACGCGTGGGGAATTTTCTAGTATGTACAAAGTTCGAGCACCGAGGCTCATCACTAGGTCCACAAGGCTGGTCATAGTGGTGAGTAACTTAGACCAGTAACATGTACATGTTACTAGTCTATGCTACTATTTAGTGATTAGTGTTATATGTATGATAACATAGAGAACTTTATTTACCCGCAAAAAAACATAGAGAACTTTAGTTATTACTTTGTAGAATCATTTTTTCATTGAAAACTGCTATTGATCGTAACATATTATGTTACTCAATTTGTCTCTCCTCATTAGCTACTTGAGATATCATCTTTTTTGCTTATGTAGCATGCATGTTAGTACTACTTATATTTACTCTCCCACTATGAGGGGCCTAAACGTTTTACCCATGTTTTGACATCTGACAAAGCAATACATGTAACATCAATCAAAATGCCAAAAGTTTTCCGCGATATAATACGACCAGAGAGAAACCTGATGTTCCATCGAACAAAAAGCCCACCAGACTGTTAGCAAATAAGCCACGGCGGGGCACTTGTCTGACCATAGTCTGGGTTGTGTCCGACTATTGTATGGCTTGGCCATGGTCTGGGCATAGTCCGACTGGTATCTAGGGTTAGTCTGGCTTGTGTCTAGGCTTAGTCCAGCTAGTGTACGGGTGCGTGCGTGTGCGGTGAGTGTGCTGGATGCGAGTCCGTGGCCGCGCCCAGTCAGTGGCAAGTGTGCGTGCGTGTGTGTGTGTGTAGCAGCACGTGTACGTGCGCGCGTGCGTGTGTGAGCTGGTTGGCGAGGAGCCAGGAGGTGTGACCGCGTCGCCCGTGATGGGAGTGGTCGCATCGTCCGTGTAGGAGCGCGGCGGGTGCGCGAGCCAGGATCTGTGGGACGTGGTGAGTGGGTTGAGTGGGCACGGCCTGGCGTATGTGCGTAGGCGTATAAGGCTCCCCTACCCCTCTGTGTATTGCTGAAGCAGCTGGACTGAGTTCGTGCTCAGGAAAAAAGAGAACGCCGTTCGTGCGGCGGGTGGTGTACGTGCGCCGGAAAATACTTGTGTCCCTGTGAACTTCTTCTTCCTCCAGTTCAGTTCTTCCTCGAGTGCAGAGAGAGAGAGATAGAGGTAGAGCTCCGGTGAGTGAGGGAGAAGGGGCGCGGCAACAACACAGAAACACAAGGAAAATGATCAAACGAATACAAATTTGCAAATTAACGAGCAATCAAAACACTTTTCCTAGTCTATTGCAAACACACGACCGAGAGGGCACTTTCTTCAATCTTATTTCTAGGCGCAGGCCATTTGAAATTGACATTCAGACCAACAGGGAAACGTTCTTCAAAACAGATCTATGACCGACGACGACGCCATACCCTGAACTGAAACGACAGACTGAGAAAAGACACGAGCACTAAGGGGTTGGCGAAGAGGATGCTCCTCCCTCCGTGAGCTCCGCTGAAACAATTGCACTCGCCGTGAGCACATCGGATTTCTTACGCCTAGCTAGAAGAGGTTCATGGGAGCGCCATCTCAACATATCCTTCCTTGTCACTTCTAAGAACACGACGGAGCTTGGTGTCACTTCTTAGACCACGACGGAGCTTGTTGCTGACGATGGGTGTGGTTGACTTGACACGTTTACCTCGAGGACGCCCACGTGCGGCAGCCGGAAACAACTCTAGGCATGCATCCTTGAGCCTCTTGCAGTGGTGCTGATCTGCCAGCATCGACATGGTTGCGATGGTCTCCGCATCGATTCTTTTGCACAACTCTTCCTCGCACATAAGTTTCAGTCTGTCAAGCCCGTACCTATCAGCCGCGACCAGTAAATGTTGCATGGCCGCGGCGCTATAGCCTCCTTCATCGGGGCATGGCGGTAGGAAGTCCGTGTAGATGTAGTGAAGCATCGTCTCAAAGATGAAAGGCTTCACGCCGACGATCTTGACGCGCCCCATGTCCTTGTCCGCCATGGGGCCATAGAGCTGAGCTTCGAAGACGGGCGGCCGTGCGGCGAGGACGGGACTGTGAGCGTGGAACTTCCGACGGCCCACGTGGAACGTAACGTCCGTGCCTCTCCCGTCTCTGAGCACGCGTCCGAGGTGGAAAGGCAGCTCCACCGGCAGCGAATCGTGTGTGACGGTCACGTCGCACAGTACCGTGAAGCAGCCGTCCCCGAGCTGCGACAGCGATTCCAGCTTGGCCTTGTCCACGAATTTGTAGTGGCCCCAGCTATCGTCCTTGTATGGCCCCGAAGAGAAGACGCGCTTCGACACGTCGAAGCTTGCTACCGGCGGTGACCGGCCCTTCTTCTCCAGCATTCTCATCCTGAACTTGGTGCTCACGTCCACGTCTTGGCTAAGATAGGTCAGGAACGCTGAGGCGTTGCCGGCACAGTCCTCGTTTTCTCCGTCCAGAAAGAAGTCGATGCGCCAGTCATAGCCGCCGATTCTGAAGGCCGGGGAAGAAACGAATTTGCTGACGCCCATGCCCGTGAGCTGCAGGTAGTTGGTCACCTCGAGAGATAGAGTCGCGGTGGTCTCTGCTAAGATCTTGGACGACGTTATCTTCTCAGGTACGCGCTCTCCTGCCATGGATCGGAGAAGGTAGGCGAGAACGCATTCACGGGAAAACAACCTGAAGGGAGGACTAGGCGTCTTCTTTTGGAAACATGTAGAGAACTTGGATAGGAAGATCAAACCATGGAAAGAAATCAAGGACTCTGATCGATTGGACTCGTAGAGTCGTAGGGAACCGTAAAGAGGCAAAACTGTAGACCCGGCGTAAAGGTCAAGGGCATGGGCGGAAATTTTGACCTGTACTCAGCCTAAATTTTATACGAGATATTTCCAAACAAAAAATGAAGGATTATTGCAAACCAACCTATGATTGGATAATTAGAGGCACAATGGTATTCCAGCCCACCAGGGTTCAAATCCTGGTACCCGCACTAGGTAGGGTGTGTGTGTGCGTTCATAGTAATGAGTGTATGCGCGTATGTATGAGTGCATGTGTTTGTACTGTGTTCAAAAAAAATGAAGGAGTATTTTTTACTCCCAAAATAAACACCGAAGTTCCAAACAGGCCTGACCATCCATTGAGGGCGATTTGGCCATTTCCGAAAGGGCATTGGGTGGTCGGCATTATTTTAATTAATCCATATGTTATTCTGGATTTAACTGTAGATAATTAGCTACTACTGTTGGATCGGGTAGGCTTAGATCAATCCGGTGATTTACCTTCTGCATGTCCGGATGAACTCGATGGGGTGGCCATGGTGGATGGCGGCGGTGGTGATGGCAGATCGTGGGTGAAGTGGTGGCGGCGCTTCCCATCAGCACTGCACTAACCCTAGATCGGTAGGGAGTGTAGGTGGGGTGTACGGCGTCGCGACGAACCTCGTGATGCGAGCCGCCGCCCCCCACCTCTTTATATAGTGTAGGTGACAGAGGCCCGTAACCCATAGTGGGTTGAGCGCCCCCGATCAGGGCGAGGATCAAAGGGCCCGGTGGGCCGTTGGGCTCACACGGTAGAGATCATCCTAACATTCTCTTCCTTGATCTCAACTTTTACATTTGACCTTATACTTTTACTTTACTCGTTTGATAACAGATCAATACATAGAACATGTTTCATCGTCACAGCTCAATTGCCGATAGAATCAGACAGCCACAACGTATCTTTCTGTTTTGAAACAAATTCTTTAACCTTGGGCCCTTTTATTGTCCGGAAATGTTAGACTATACCATAAAACCCATGTCGACTGTGTGTTCTCCGAACACACAGAGCGGTAAGCCTTTAATAAGCAGATCTGCAAACACTTGTCTGTTGCTTTTATGCTTCAAGCATTCTACATAATTCCGGACTTTCTCCTTTACAACGCATAACACTGTGTCAGTGTGTTTGGCATCAACACTTGACTCGTTATCATAGGAGCGAAAAACTTAAAATGGTTATCGCTGTTGTCAACCATTATCAACTCTGGGTACAAGTCTCCTTAACCATTTTGCCTGTCCCTCAGCCTCATATCAAGCTATAAAATATCTTTGCATCACATTGATGATAATTGTTTCATTCTTTTGAGCTTTTCCACACAAAAACCTCCAAGTATGAAAGTTAGAGACAAGTGTGGATTTCGCTATACATTTCACAAGTCATGTCTTTATACTCACAATCTTTTGAGAGCACTTATTTCTTTCGGCATGAGGCCGATATCTTTGACTCCATTCCAGTGATCTATATATGGACTGGACATTGCCAAAACAACTCGGATATGTGAACTGTGTCAGGGCAATATATTGAGCTTCCAACAGCTACAACATATGGTACCATATCCGTTTCAATCTTTTATCGTCAACTTGTGGAACACCATAGTTTCCACTTCCATCACCCTTGACTATAAGAACAGGCGTAGGTTTTCTCGCATGCATACTCTAGAGACCTTTCTTAGCATGTCCATTCGACATCCCTAATACCCCCTTTTATTCTTTTCTTCGTGAATCTTGATACTTATAACGAGAGACGCTCTACCGAGAACATTCTTTTAAACTTTGAGGACAAGAACTTCTTTTCTCCTCCTGCAGTAGGTTGACATCACCACTAGCAAGTAGGATGTCATCCACATGCACAGGATTAGGAAATGAATTTCTCATTCTATAACTTTGCACGAATACAATTGTCCTCTCATTTTCTTTAACCCAAAACAACATTTGATTGCTTTAGTCCATAAAAGACTTCTTCAGGCAGTATCCCCCGTGTTCTTTACTTTCATCTGATGTAACTCAGATCATAATATCTTTCATCTGATGTAACTTAGATCATGATGTGCTACCAACACTCATTGTAATCTATTCAGTGCAAAACGCGCAAAAACCTTCCGATTTAAGTCGTGTTTTACACCTTTACATATTTCCTTTGGAGTCACTTTGTCCTTGTAGACTCTTTACAGCCTATTGTTTTGGCTCCATTGGAAATTACTCATTAGTCCCAAACATCGTCGGGATTCACCAATTTCATTTCATCTCACATAGTCCCTTATCATTTAGATAAGCAGACACTTCTCAAAGCTCGAATGAGCGCTTTAAATGAGGTGGGATCAACCTCCATTTGAATTTCACTAACATAGACTTTATAGTAATCAGAAGTATCTGATTTTCTCATTCCTTGAGACCATCAGTGTCTCAGGTACTGGCACTTCTTTCATATGGGGATGTTCTTGCTCTGTCATTGCAAGAGGCAAACTAATTCTATAGTCTTTCATTTCCAAGAGGCAATAGGTTTTACAGGGACCTGTATCACAAGATCCATGTTTACTCATTCATCTTTTATAGAACTAACAACATGTGTTGTATAGGTCATACAACATGCTCCCCCAGATTACTCCATCTTCACTAAAAATGGCGTATCTTTAAACTTTATAATTTGGGTTTATTCTGTTAAAACTTTCTTCTTTATGGCACTTTAAGCACCATCTTAGTATTCCTTACCCTGCTTTCCGAACTGTAAAAGATCCAGAAATACAACTATTTCTTTTCTTTAGGGGTATTAATATGACCGTCGTACTCCCCCAGACGATCACATTCTTCATCACATTATCTAAAGTATAGGGGAGTTTCATCATTCTTAATTTATCTCATATATCTTTCTCCCCCTCGAAATGTGGCAAGAACTTTTCTGCCACAATTCCGAAAACCATTGATAACTCTTGTGAATTGAGGAAACTTCGATTATCTACTTCATTCATCAGATTACTTCATACGAAATGAAGTTATCTCTTCATACAAAATGAAGTTATCTTTTAACTAGTATGGGAGTACTTTTTCCTCATTCCATTTCAGAAACTCAACAGAGTTCTGTATCATTAGTACTTTTGCAAGTCACACTTGCATATCATTCTTATCTTTAGGTTCGTTTGTAACTTTTATTCCCTTTGGATTTGTTGAGTGCTTAATGACCATTACACATAAGGTGTACGGTCGATACTAGGAAGGCATAATAGCTACTCCATACTTTTCTCCCAGAGTGGGACACATTAAAAGCACATGAGTCATCATATCTTTCTCCTGTCATACAGGATAAGTCCTTTGCCAGAATTTCTCCCGCCATACAAGATTTTTGACATAATAATATGTCAACTTTACCCCGTTAATTACGCCGGTATATTCCTAGAATTTTCCCGCCATGCAGGTTTTATGATAATCATCTTCTCCCGCTATGCGGGTAATTCCCTGTAAGGGACTTAAATGCAAGAATTGACTCTTTTGACTGCATTATTCAATCATAAAATTTAGGAATAAATCCTAATGCTCTTTGACACACATGCTTGATCTGACGTTGGTCAAATTAAACATGCATGTTGCTTGTTTCATCTCAAATCATGTTGACTGATAAATCTTCTTCATATAGAATACATGAAAGACATTCATCAACCAAGACTCTCAATGATCTATTTGTTTTCTTCTCTTGGATTAATATCCAAGAATTCTTTTCTTTTGAAGCCATTCTTTAGAGAGAAGATACTCCCTCATGTTAAGACCTTTCTTGGTCATCTTTCGAGTCACGAATACCCAGCCATTCGCTTTCACGAATGAAAGCATGGAAAACTTTTAATCTGAGAAAAAAATATCCAATAATCAACAATATTGAGCATAAAAAATAATCCCATGTTGGTCTGGTTAAAATATATGCACATTAAACTTTTAAAACCTTATTCTATATTCTAAATCACCGTTGGGCAGAATTAGAATAAAGGGAGATTTACATTTTTCCCCCTAACTTTGTCCAGGCCTCATCTTTACCCCTAAATAAAAACAGTGCTCAACTTTGCCCCTCTTCCGTTAAGTGTGCTTATAGAAATGCCCTTCCGTACATTTTCCGTCCAGTCAAAGGCCTTTGACCGTTAAGTGCGCGTATAGAAAAATCTAACGGTCAAAGGCCTTTGACTGGACGGAAAATGTATGGAAGGGCATTTCTATAAGTGCACCTAACGGAAGAGGGGCAAAGTTGAGCACTGTTTTTATTTAGGGGTAAAGATGAGGTCGGGACAAAGTTAGGGGGAAAATGGAATTGGCCCTTCTAAAACATCATCCTTCTACATTAATTGCATATCACCGTTGGGCGGAAATGAAAATAATGCATATAACTCATAAACAATATGATGATAGTATTTCTATTAAACAACTTTCCAAAGAAATAATCATCATCATCAACTTTATTGCAGTGGGAACAAGAAATATACATCTCTCTAGTTCAAGAGCGTTACTTGATCTTTATCTCTTCTCTGAAAACTGATCACTTTGATACAAAATTTATAAGATATTTAAGCTTTGAACATAAGACTCATAGAATTATAGCACTGTTATCAACAACGTTGGTCAGAAAATAACAATATCATATTTTAACTTAAAAAATATATCTTTCTTTTGTCATAGCAGAAACTATCTGCATCTCATTTCACCCACAGGGGAAAAACATTGCTTAGAACAATTCTTCCAATTAAATTTTCCCGTTGGTTTCAATTTAAATGGAGGATAAAACTTTTACTTTGCAGCGGAAACTTTCTGAATCTATTTAGAAACAATTCTGTACTCTTTTACTCTCTAAGCAATTTTAATCGGTTCGAAAAAGCATTAGAGAAGCAACAATTTTAATCTTTTACTTTAGTTCTAGTCACTTTTAAAAGAGCACTTTATTTTTATTTGCAGCGGAAAACATGAATTAAAAATTCATGAACTTTTTGCTTTTCAAAAGCATTACTTTTACTTTTCTATTTTCTAAACAAAAAATTTCTCTGAATAATTTGGATAGAAAAAACTGTATTTAAGTTTGCCCAAAACTGGACAGAAAAATAAAAAACCGCCAGCCGAACAAACGGCTCCCAGCGCACGCCCCTGCGCGGCCCACGGCCTGCTGGCCGAGCGCCGTTCGGCCGCCCTAGCTCATCGGCCCACAGCCCACCGCGGCAGTGCGGCATCGGCCTGGTGCGTTCACGCTTTCGGCCCACTTGGCCCGGGGCGGGGCTAGGTCTTTGATCCTGGCTGTTCTTTTAGATTGGACGGCCGAGCGGGGTTTTCGGTTGGACAAAATCGGAAGTCCCCTGATCCCGAAACCTAGCCCCCATTCGCATCGCGTCGCCGCCCTTACCTGTCTCTCTCTTTCTCTGCCGTCTTGCTACCCGACGGAAAACTAGGGGCAGCGCCCCGGCCGCCCGCGTCGTCCGCCGGCGACGGCGGCGACCGGCCACCTTACTGCGTGGGCTGCCCTCTCTTTTCCCTTTCCCCTCATGCTTCTTTCTCCACCTCCAGCAGCAGAGAGAGTCGCGGACAAAGATTTCCTCGGCTCCCCATGTGTTCGACGACAGCGGAGCGAACGGCAGCGGCACCGTGGCCTTCCCCCTTGACGGCTGCACGTCCACCTTGCGGTGAGCGCGCCGCCGTCGAGCGGATTGATCACAGTGCCCTTTGCCCCTTGCGGGGTCGTTCTTCGTCTGGATGGCTTGGCTTGCCGATGCCCGTTCGAACGAGAGGAACTGGTGCGGCCGGAGTGGTGGCGCACTTTGCCGGCGGGGGCCGGGGCCCTCTGCCGGTGAACTTTCTGCTTTTTTGTTGTTGTTTGTCTTTGCCCTGCTAGGGTTCTTCGGGGGGGAGGGAGGGAGGGAGGAATTTTCTTTCCGTGTATGCACTTTGTCCCAAAATTCTTAGCCTAGATGGCTCTGATACCATTGTTAGACCTCTTGGATCGGGTAGGCTTAGATCAATCTGGTGATTTACCTTCTGCCTGTCCGGATGAACTCGATGGGGTGGCCATGGTGGATGGCGGCGGTGGTGATGGCAGATCGTGGGTGAAGTGGTGGCGGCGCTTCCCATCAGCACTGCACTAACGCTAGATCGGTAGGGGGTGTAGGTGGGGTGTACGGCGTCGTGACGAACCTCGTGATGCGAGCCGCCGGCCCCCACCTCTTTATATAGTGGAGGTGACAGGGGCCCATCACCCATAGTGGGTTGAGCGCCCCCGATCAGGGCGAGGATCTAAGGGCCCGGTGGGCCGTTGGGCCCACACGGTGAAGATCATCCTAACAACTACTAGATACATAGTAATTAGAAGAAAGTACTAGAAACCGCGAGGTGTCAGTACTTAGGTTAATGTGAGGGCGCTTCTTAATTGAGGGGTAAATTAGTGATAAGATTGATTTAATTTAGATCCAATCACAATGCACCGCCGCTCTCATTCAATCCTAAACCGCCGCCACACGCTCCTCTCCCTCTTCTCCATTGCAAAACCACCCCGCCTCCTCTCCATCTTGTCCATTGTAAAGCCACCGTCTCTCCTCTCCATGAATACTAAACTAAATAAGTAGGAAGTGGAGGCTACAGATCCAAGAAGTCAGGTTCATACCATAGGATGGCAGCCGAGAAGAGATGGGATCGGCCGGCGTCGAGTTCCTGCAGATTATAGTGCCGCCCACGTCGCTGCCGGTTCAACCGCCGCATATGTGGTGTCTTATTCTTCTTCTTATCGCCGGGGATGTCAAGGACAATGAGGGGGAGGAGGGGAGAGCGAGGACGACGGCGGTGAATTGACAAGAACAGTGAAGGGGCGAGGGCGACGGTGAGGACGACCTTGATCTGGATCTATTAGACGTGGTTCTGTCATGGAGGTGATCGGTTGCAAAAAAGAAGATATTTTATCCTGGACCATTATGCTCTTCTTGGAATAAACATATTAAATTTAACCCTTTTTAACCCCCATCAGATTGGACGGCTAGTAAAAATCATACGGGTAAGTAGTATTCCGAGTATTACGCCAATCACCATAAAAGAGCTCATTATGGACTTTTGCCTGACAGAGATTAAAAACCCCCGATCAAGATCAAATTTTTGAGTTTTTAATAGAAAAGGCAAATGCTCGGCTTTATAAATAAAGCCATCACGGCAAAAGTATTTTCTTCCAACATCTAAAGGATCGAAGGAGTAATAGAGCTTTAAGGTCTTTAATACCTAATAAATAATCATACATGTTGTTCCAAAAAAGAAATATCGTACATATACCTCTATTACTTTTAAATTTGTTTTGCACGTGTCTTTCTACAAAGGCTATATGTGATTCAAGTCCTTTCAGATATGGTGCTGAAGATGGTGTTTCAACATTTGTGGTTTAGAAATATCTAGTACAAAATTCATTTTTAAGAACACCTCCGCACAAAATAATTGTTATGCAAAACAAAGAACAATTACCATTAACATTTGTAGGTATCTTTTTAATCAATTTTATCCTCTCGACTACTACTTTGGTCCTTGAATCTCCCCCTCCAAAGCCCCGTGTGAAGACAATTTTTTTCGAGAAAAATATTCAATCTATTCATCAACTGTCAAAGCGGTACAGAAAATACCAAAAGTAAAAATTACATTCAGATTCATGTTCACCTAGCGACGACTATAAACGAGCGTGTTGAAGGCGTGCCGCCATCATCGCTCAGAACCGGGCAAACCTTGTGACTTGCGGGGAAGTGCTCCAAGAAACTTATCAATCGGTCGCCAAGACGGGCAGCCATTACTTGGGTGATGATTTGAACTTCATGCATGCAACTTTGAGGCGTTTGCACTGGTGCTGATCTGCCAACGCCGACATGGTTGTGATGGTCTCTGAGTCGATTCTTTTGCACAGTTCTTCTTCGCATACCAGCTTCAACCTTTCTAGGCCGTACCTATTTGCTGCCACCAGTAAATGCTGCATCACCCTGATGTTGTTTCCGCCTTGATCGTCGTACGGTGGCAGCGACTCCGTGTAGATGTAGTGAAGCATCATCTTGAATATGGCAGGCTCCACGTCCACGATCTCCACTCGCCGCACACCCTCCATTAGGTCAAATAGCTGCGCCGCCAGGACCGGCGATCGCGCCGCCAGGAGAAAACTGTGAGCGCGGAACTCCTGGTTGGCCACGCTGAACGTCACGTCGGCGCCCCTCCCGTCCTCGAGCATGCGCTCGAGGTGGCTGTGCAGCTCCAGAGACGGTGGCTCGTCCATGACGACGGTGAGGACGCACAGTATCGTGAAGCAGCCATCCCCGAGCTGCGACAGCGATTCCAGCTTGGCCCTCTCCACGAATTTGGGGTGGCCTCACTCGTCGTATCTCGTTGCTTTTGGCGAGAAGACGCGCTTCCTCGGGTCGAAGCTTGCTACCTGCACCTGGCCCTTGGTGTGCAGCATGCTCAACGTGAACCGGGTGCTCACGTCCTTGACTTGGCTGCGGCTGAACACGTACGCGGAGGCGTTGCCGGCACAGTGCCAGTCTTTTCCGCCTGGGTAGAACCTCATCTCCCACTCGTAGCCACCGACCGGGAAGACGCGCGAGCTAACGAACTCGCCGACGCCCATGTCCTTAACCTGCAGGTAGTCGGGCACCTCCAAACTGAGTGTGTCCGTGTGCTCCTTGAAGCTGCTTGACGACATGGTCTCCCGTACACGCACCACTGCCGTGGTCGAGCTTTTACCCATGGCGAAGGTAGACGATCGACGACGGATCACGGGCAAACACGATCGAGCCAAATAAATAACTTGGAAAGGAAGAACAGATTATATGGAATTAATCAACCCAAGGACTCCTATACGGACCCTAAAAAAAAAAGGACTCCTATACGATATCGGTCTGGTAGGCACCGTAAAGAGCCAAAACTGTAGGTTTTGTATGGTCACCCAAATACTCGTGGTAGGAAGGTCATTAGCCAGGGTCTATACTCAATGGACAGCACTAGGCGCCGGTCGACCGGCCGCCGCGTGCCCCATCCGATTGACCCCGCCCGCACAATTGGATTCCTCTTGCTTTTTTTTTAGAAACACATGCAATTTTATTTATACTCGTAACAATTACAGATACACTGATTTGGATCTAAAATCCAAAAATAATAATAATTCCTATGACTAAGAATTACAATGAAATCTTGGAAACATATTCTGCTTGAAAAAAAAAATACTTCAAAGAGGTCCGTAAAGAGGCTGCAATTGGATTGGAGCAACGATTTTTTTTTTTGAAATGGAGGAAGACCCTCTGTCTCTGCATCCGGACGATGCATGCAACCACTTTATTAAAAATTCAACAAAACCTTACAAAGTCATACAAAAGTAAGCCTAAAGCCACCGCCTAGGCAACATCTGTCGCTACTCCTATCCAGTTGATGTAGGGATGCTGATAGTCTGGGCCTAATACCAAACAGACCTTGCAGCCAAACCTAACATCTAAGACCTAAGGTCCCAACCAGGACGCCTGCCGGGTATGGGTCACCCACCAGTCCGTCACACTTCTCAACTAGGACGCCTGCCGGGTATGAGGCCGCCGCAGCCATCTGCCACCAATCCATCTTCAGAGTTGTACTGTTGCATCTACTGTGCCAGGTCTCTCTGCCATCGACGCCAGACAGTGTCGTCCTCCTGCGCTAGTCCATCTTCGTACATCGGGCGTTGAGTCTCCACTGCGCCACATCAATGTGTAGGATGAAGCACCACTCCACCAAGAAAGCCACTCACTGGTCCCTCGATCCCGTGTACGCCTCCAAGAATGACGCCCCAAAGGAGGAAACGACACCAATGCGCCACCGTCATCCGATCTACTGATTTAGGGTTTCCCCAGGAGGTAGTAGATAGATGTCTTGAACTTCTCCTTGGCGATGCCTTCAAGAAGGAAACACCGCATACCAGCGCCGTCACCGCCGGCCTTGGCCAGGTTTTCACCCGGATCAGAACAGAGGACCTCCATCAAGCAACTTGTACACGAACCGCCACCATCACTGCCGGGGACTGGACGGAGAATCCAGGCCGCCGCCGCCTGACCGGCCATGGCGCCACCATGGTGCCTAGGCCGACGTCGTCAGGCCCACCATGCCCGCCTATAGACGCTCACCAGATCCGCCGGCCAGCCGAAACCCATCTAGCCTAAACCCACAGGGGCTCCTCTGCCGCGGTATCGTGCTGTCACACTCGCCGCCGGGAACCCGCCGCTCCACGCCGCTGGGAACCCGCAGTTCCGTGCGTCGCCGCCATCATCGGCCAGGCTACGGGCGTGGCCTCTGGTGGCGGCAGGGGAGAGAGGACGTGGGAGGAGGCCTTTGGGCCGGCGGCAGATCTCGCCCCCCGTGTCGCCTAAGGCGACGCGGGGGCAGGGGAGAAGACGTGATTTGTTCTGTCAGCCCTGATAAACTGCTCTGGTACAACAATGTTTCACTCTTTCACCCGCTATAGTACCAGCCAAGTTTTTTTACAGCCAGTTTGTAACAGTGGGGTCTACTACATTTCATGTGATTGTTGGTCTGGTGCTTTGGTCCTTTAGGGCCTTAGCACTACGATTCCCTGATTGTCTATGATAATAAGTTGTGCCCGGCTCCGTCAAGGGAGGAGCGATGGCGGTGGCGTGCCTTTGGCTCGCTTCAGTGCTTGTAGTCGTGGCTAGGTGGTCTATGAATCTGGATGTAATTTTTATTTCTAATGTTCGTTGTACTACCATGATTGGAGATGAGTAGATTGGAAGTTTTCATGCAAAAAAAAAGTTTGATGTTCAAGGGTCCTTTGGGGCCGATCGATCTTCTCCGTGGTGCAAAGGACTCTTGATGTTCAAGGGTCCTTTGGGGCCGATCGATCTTCTCCATGGCGCAAAGGACTCTTGATGTTCAAGGGTCTTTATTATACATATAAAAAAATTGTGGTCTTAAAAACATGACCTCATCAGTCAATGCGGCAATAGCTCATGTAAAATATAAGTATTTGCAAGTCAAAAGGAAAACATACGTAGTACTCTCTCTGTCTGGAAATACTTATCGCAGAAAAGAATAAAAATGAATGTATTAAGAATTAAAATATATCTAGATACATTCATTTTTTCGACAAGTATTTTCGGGCGGAGGGGATATCAACTTCCTAAGAAACTGCAGTCCGTTTTTAATTTCTGGCCTGGATCAGTTTCTTCCTCTGGATGGCCACGCTTATTTGTCCCCGGGACATGATCCCCCTCCAGAGGCAATGGTCGGTAATTTGTCATGCAGAGCTCGTTGAACCCGCTACTCTCAAGGACGGTGCCTAGGACTTCCGGCGACCACGTAAGAAACTGGAGGCATGCATGCTTGAGCCGATGACAATGGTGCCGATTTGCGAGCGCGTGCATGAACATGATGGTCTGTGCGTCGATCCTCCGGCACAGCTCTTCCTCGCACATGAGCTTCAGCCTGTCCAGCCCGTACCTGTCCGCCGCGACAAGCAAACGCTGCATCACCGCAGCGCTGCGGCCGCCTTGGTCGTTGCATGACGGCAGTGAGTCCGTATAGATATAGCGAAGCATCATCTTGAAGATGGCTGGCCTCATGCCGACAACCTTGATGTGCCGCATGTCCTTCTCCGCCATGGGGCCAAAGAGCTGCGCTTCGAAGACGGGCGACCGCTCCGCCAGGATAGAGCTTTGCGCGCGGAAGTTTCGGCCGCGCACCCGAAACCGGACGTCCGCGCGTCTTCCGTTCACCTGCATGCGCTCGAGGTGGCCGGGTAGCTCCATCGGCCGGGACTCGACGTTGATGATGGTGAGGACGTACTGTAACGTGAAGCCGCCGTCCCCCCGTCCCCGAGCTCGGACAGCGGTTTCAGCTCTGTGCCCCAGCAGTTGTTGGGTTCCACCGGAGAAAAGACTCCCTCCAACACGCCGAAGCTGGCTACCGGTTCCTCTCCCTCGTTACCCAGCACGCTCAGCGTGTACTTGGTATGCACAGGCCCGGCAGGGCTGAGAAACCACAAGTAGGCCATGGCATTGATGGCATGGTTCGCGTCCCGCCACCCGTACGGGTACAACTCGATGCCCCAATGGTAGCCGCCGAAGCTGTAGACGTCTGATCTAGCGCACTCGTCCACGCCCATGGCTTCGAGATTGGGGCAATGAGCAGCTGCCACCTCGAAGCTGAGAGTCCCAGTGACGGTGCTCTCCGGGATGCATCTCGACGATGTGATCTCAGAGCCCATACAATCGGCCACTACCCAAGGGATACCGGTTCGCTTTGTAAATTCTTTGTTCCGCCTGCAGCAACAAAATAGTGGAGCAATTGGCCGGCCAATGTCACGCACTCTTTTTGGCTTTCCAAACAGTTTTTTTAGCACTTTCCAAACAGTTATATGAAGGTGCTAGAATGTTCTGTCCCAGGTCTTATTTTTTCTTTGTTTCTGTGTTTTTGTGTTGATTTTCTTGGTTTCTTCTTATTATTTTCTTTCATAATTTCCTTGGCCATTATTTTTGAATTTTTTTATTTTTTTTGTTTTTGTTTTTAATTCAAAAAATGTTAAACTCATGAATTTTACAAATTCTCATTTCAGAAGATACGTTTTAATAATCATGAAGATTTTTTAACTCATGAAAAAACTTTCAACTGAGCATACATTTTGAAAATCCATGAAGATTTTTTAAAACTTGTTAACATTTTTTTAAAATTCTCTAAGATTTCAAACTTTGTGAATATTTTCTAATTTACGAACTTTTTAAATTCCTTGTATATTTTTTAACCCATGAAAAGCTTTTACTAAAAAGAAGGCCAAAAAATGTTGGAGTAAAATAATCTATAAAAAAATCGGCTGGACAACTTCAAACAATACCAGAATTGGCTGAAAGCCAACAAAACGATACAAAACACCGTCCTCGTGCTTGTGCCACGGGTTGCTCGGGATTTGGATGCACTGTTCAAGAGATAAAACGTTTTAAATAAACGAATATACAAAAAAAGGAACTTATAGGTTGTGACAACTGGCACACATGCAGTGCGTCATTTGTCAGTGCCTCACAAGATGGGGAGTGAAGTTTCGCAATTTGATGCAAACTATAAACAAACAGTCGAGCATTTGCACATGGAGTACTCGCGCGGGCCAACCCATATAGCACAAGCCCAACAGTGAGCATTTCCTTTACCTGTTCCTTTTTTTATTTTATTTGTTACTTTTGAATTAGTTTTTATTTTGGATTTCCAAATAAACTTGATATTGTTTTGAAAAGTAGAATATTTTGAAAA